ATTAAATTATAAAATTGGATACGATAGAAATATTTGTTAATAATTTATAAGGCAAACAAAAAAAAAAACAACATACATTATTTCCATTCTCAGACATGTTTTGTGCCTCTGTCATAACAACAAAAATGTTGTGTTTTTTTTTACATTAAACAAATACACTTACCACAATTATGTCATACTCGATCTCAGTTGTAAAAATTGTTTGGGTTTGTGGAAAAAATAGCAATTCCTTTTTTTACACTTTTTTCTGCAGTTGATTTCCGGAATTTCGTATAGTAAATTCTTGTATTTTATGGTCAGCTGAGCTAACGATGAATGAAAGGCGAAAAAAAAAACTAAAAAAAAAAAAAAAGAGGAACACCTTGCACAATTTCAGGAAGAGGGGGTCAATATCTCCTCATTATCGTAAAAGACAGTCTTGTGCTGGGCTAAGGAATGAAAGTTTTGGCTTGTGACTTCCGGCCACAAGGAAAGCCAAGAAAAATAAGTTTCGTTTAAATAACGCCATCCACCGGATATTTTTATACAGGGGACACTATTTAATTATTCACCGATACAGCAACAAGAAATTAATTTATTGTTTTTATTTTTTAAATTTTAAATCCATTTAGTAAGAGGCTTTTTAACACACAAAAAAGCTTCTGTAGTTTGTTTGTTTTTTAATTTTCTTCAGAGTTCTGCTGTGTTGTACATCCAACTATTTTAATGGTGAACTGAAATCTTTGATGGTAAATCATTGTTTAAAAAAGATTTTATAAAAGTTAAAAAGGTAATCGTAATCCGTATTAAAAGAAAAATTAAATTCTGTACGTAATTAAAGTTTTTTTTTAGGCATTTTTAAAAACATTTAGCACGTTCACTCGTCACTCACTGAATCGCCTTTAGACAAAAAAAAATGTAAACAACAAATTTACAATTCCAAAAGTTCAGTAATTAATTTCCTTATCATTCGGAATTTAAATGAAGAAGGCCGGATCCGTCAACGGCCGAAACGTAGGGATAAATATGGCAACAAAGATGAGGACGATAGTCCGAACAATAAAAATAATAAAATGTATGACTTCAAAATAGATCTCAGGACAAACCAAGAGATGTGTTTCAAAGTCATTTAGTGCATTTAACTTAAGGATTTACTGGATTTTGTGTAAAAATGCTTACTTTTTTCTTACTAATTTACTTATAATGAAAATAAAATGTTTATGCACGGTAGCCTGTGAGGTCAGAGGTAGGTATGCAAAAAAGTAGAAACTAGTGTATAATTTCACCCCTGACTTAAAAAGCGAGCGAAAAATTAAAATTAAAAAAATACGGAATATCAGCAGTGCAATAATCAAGAAATAGAATTGCTACTAACAAAAAATGGGCAAAATTGCATTAATATTGTTAATTGATTACAACATTCACTTTGAGTTCTTTCTTAGGTATTCAACGTCCTAAAAGTTTCATTTGTCCGTAAAATTATATTATCAATCCTAAGTTTAAAAAAAAAAAAAAAGTATAGCCAATATTTACATTGTCAGACTGTTGTCCTCATCTTTATTGTCATATTCACGACGTTTCGGGCGCTGTACGCTTCGGCTTTCTTCAGCTGATTGGAATTCAAAAAAGAAAAAATAAATAAATTCGCGATCACATAATCTTTTTAAAAAGTACACAGATCGAAGAAGATGGTGAAACAGACTCCCAACCAAATATTTCTACAAAGTTTTCTAATAAAATAACATATTCAGTCAGTATACAATTCATTCATTAATGAATAATAAATACTGAAAATTTCCATTCATTTGAATCGGATAATTCCCAAATTTTGGCAATAAATTAAAGAGAGTAGCAATTTTTTGCTTTCATTTCGGACAAAACGCATTTAAACGAACTACTAATCCAACAGATCATTCTTTATTTCTAGTGTTTTCAATCCTACACTAGATTTCCAACACTTGTAGCCTTGTGCCAAACTAAGATATATCTAGGTGACTCGGAGTGCCATAATGGTGAGATTTTGTCTGACATACGATTACTCACTCTGTGTATCTATTTAGTTCAGACTGTTAGACCCACCCCTTGCTCCCAATGTTAAGTTAACTACTAGTGTGTTAATTTTTACAACACCCCCACCCAGTGTTTAAAACTGCTTCACGTTTTTTTTTTGTTTTTTGGGGGGTTTTTTTCATCAGTTTGATAAATCAAAAAAAATTGTTTGTTTATTGTTGTTTATTCTTGAGTAAAAAGCAATATTTTTAAAGTTTTTTTTTTTCAATCCAGGAACCAGACACTGCTACCCGTAAACTAAACAGAGAGTTGTTGAATTTCCTTTCTTTACAGCATTAATGAACACGCAGATGTTAGTTAGATAGTGATAATTTGATCTTCTTCTTGTGTCCAATTCAAGAAAACCTTTTCTCTACAGCCTTTATTGATCCGTATTTATTTATGTGATATAATGGATACAGCAATAAGGAGGTTTTCAAGAAATTAATAATTACAAAGAAACTTATACTTATAATAAAAACGAAACAACTGAAATTTCTGGGACAAATAATGAAGAAAGAGTCAGATCAGACCAAAAATAGTGTATTGCTGTCACATCTGGGCTGGAGCTGCTCAACCCTCATTTTCCAGCTTTGTTGGAGATCAAAGGCGTTCGCGCATCCTTATGGCTGATGAATTGTTTTCCACTTTACAACCTTTTACCGCAGTCGAAATGTTAATACGTACCCTCCCCCCCAAAAAATGGATACCTTTTCTCGGCCGCAATGAAAGTAAAAATTCGATACCCTGTTTTAAAATATTTCCTAAAAATCAGGGAATTATTCGATTCAAACGAAATTTTCAGGATTTATTCATTAATGAATGACTATTTTACTAAATAGGTTATTAAAAACAAAACCTTGGAGAAATATTTTTTGCGTAAGAGTCTTGCCTTTTTCGTTGGTGTCTCTAAAAGTACTTATAAAGCGAGGGATAAGTGATTTGAAAGCATTTGCAAATTGAAAAATAAAAAATTACTCCTACTTTTCATTCTATTGGCATATGATATCTACGGTGTCAAAGGCTGAACCCTCTGAAGACTTGCTGCTTACGTTCAGTTCATAAAATGCAGACGTTGCCCTTGCCTAACAGAATTTGGTAGAATTTTTAACACATGAATTGAGCATATAAATGAATGAAGTTAAGTATTTCAAACTCCCTTCGTCTACTTTTGAACATATGCAAAGCATTTATCCCTTCGGTGAGCAACGAACTCTCTTACATTTGTCTTCAATATTTTTATATTTTTCAATATTATTTTGTGTCTGATCAATCTGTTGTATAAACATTTCCTCTTCATGATAATACGTTAAAACTACGTGCTGTAAGAATTTTGATTTGTTTTCCTGAAACGAGTTACTGACACTACTTTAAGCATGTAAATTCGTGAATAAATTCCTTATCTTGTTTTCTTAAAATAACCCGTGTTTTCTCGTCATTATCATCCTTCATTAATCTTAGAAGCGTATTTACCAAAAATGCTACTTAGTTACAGATCTATTCTACACGCGGGAAGAAGGCTGAGCTCTTCAGCATTAATAGGCAGACAAATCAGAGCCCCCATAACTATGTCCTTTTCAACGAAAGAAAAGGTATGATATAGAAAGAATAAAGAGGCTAATCCAGAAGAAGCAAATTTCCTGATACAAAAAGGACACAACACGGCTATACTTGCGAAAAAGGGACAAAATATACTGGCACATGCAGATCAATTCAGAAGCAGAAACGAACTGGATGATGTGGAAATGGAAAATCAAGAACAAGAAGAGGCCGAGAGTCACAAAAGTGGAACAGAGCAGGAAATGAAGGAAAGTGAGAATGCAAAGACAGGCGAGAGTGAAGAAAATGAAGAGAGACTGTAATCACTATTAAAGAGAAAACAAGAAAAACAAGAGGAAGGACAGCACAATACGAGAATAATCAGGAATAGTAAAAGAAAAAAACAAGGGTATACGACCTCTCCGATTCAGGGAGGTGCAGTATCGTATGCAAATAAGGTAAACATGTATAGAGGACAACTGGCGAACATAAGGGCATTGCGTAGCAAACCCGCTTGCTAAACGTAACGTAGAGAACTGTGCTACTACACAGAGATGTATACTAAACATATCACTGGCATTAATAATTACTCAATAAAGAATTTTAGATGACGAAATAAAACCATAAAAAAACTGTTCTCCTGAACAGCTTGCCAAGGCAATAGACAGACTGGAAACAATACATACACATTCTTAATTATTTTTGTATTATGGAGTAAAGTACGAGACAAATCTTTTTTACTGTATATTTACAATATGAGTTGATAATGTAGTTCAACTTTCAAAAGTCCGTCAAATTACCTAATTCGATTCTAACGTCTATATATTACGGATTTCTCATTGTTTTCTTAAAAACAATAAGTTCCATTTGGTTATTGTTAGCGCAATCTGGCAATACTGTCGATCCAGACCTGGTATCAAGGTTTCAGTCACTTTCCCACCGCCGTAATTTGCTTTTTCTAGAAATATTTTCATGGTAATTGTTCTGATGAGCTTTCCTCCCTGGTACCTCAATTTTACGAATTTAAACGCAGTATCAGACTGGCAGATAGGTCTCATCATTTTACATTTGAAATTGCTAGATGAAACCGTAAGTCCTTTGCTAACAGTGTCTTCTCACTTACAAAACTCTCTCTTTCTCTCGGCCTTTTGCTTTCCAGTAAACTCTGATTTTCAAAACTTTAAATGCAATGTCAATTGTTTTCTTCCGTCTTAGTTTCTGTTCTTTTGTTATTTTCTCTCCTTAATAATGTTTTTCTTTTTCTCATATCCTTTCACATTCAGTAGCTACTTGCGTCTGAGTTGCTTTACTGCCTTGCTTAGGATGAAATGAGTTTTCAATAAATACAACAAAAAATATTTCTCATCCTGTGACAGCTTATACTGTTTTTCTGCTACGGCCAAAACTCAATAGTGACTTAAGACGGTGGAAGGCTAAAGCTTCTTTTGGTAACCGTCTCTATCATCATATGTAGTCATGATGCCATTGTCAAAGTATTGTGTTGACACGTCATTGACGCTACTATTTGTGCCAACGAAACTGAACACGAGCCGCATGTGTTATAAAATAAAATAAGACATATCTCGGCTGATTTACAGGTAAATACTCAAGAGCGAGAACCGGATGTGAACGGGACAAAACCCCGTCACAAAATGACCATTATCTTTATTTACAAATGTTACCGACACACGTGTTCCGGTCGAAAAATAAAATATTTAGTGTTCTATTTTTCGTCCAATAAAAATGCTTCCTTCCTAATTATACTCGCTTCGTTTTTCGAGCCTGTTAAGCCATAAAAAAAACGCTATAAAAGGGGTCACACAGAAGTTCAACAGGCAGTCCACAGGTGGCCAGGGAACTGACCTGTCATGGTAAGCAGCTGTCAGCAAGGGAGCGTCAACCACCGTCAACATATGTGAACTACTATGAGAGATCGACCTAGATCCGAAGCCGGCTTATGAACTTTACCACAAGGTAACTGTCCCAAACCCACACGTTCCTGTTGAAATAAACCACGTAAATCTATTTCTGCTGTTGTCGTATTTCTTTCTTGCAACCATACACTTGTCTATAACACATGTTTAGGTTGTTCGGAAAATAATTTTTATTTTAGTATAAACCTTTTGCGTTCTATTATGATAATAGCTGCACAAAAATATATTATTCTTAATTATTAAAGTGTAGGTGCCTCCACTAATTCGGTATACGTAAGTTTTAAAATGAATTTTTTTAAATGAAAAAGCTTTCTTGAAGCTTTCATTTTAGCTTTAATTGAAAATTAAAAGATTTAAAACTATTTCCAGTAAACAAAATACTATGTGGTGTATTTCAAACAGAAATTATATTGATTGGAATCGATTTTTTTCAGTAAAATCGGCCATTTTGATACATTTGTAAACAAAAGTTAATTCTCATTTTCAAAAATAAAATATATTTTGGAAACGTTATTTGAGGAAAATTATCAAATCTAAAGCTAAATTAATCTGATTTGAAACAAATATTACTTACTTATAATGTAAAACGTTGTATATTTCTTAACAACAGGGTCTTGTTTTTCTGATGTCTTGATCGATTTATCGACAGCCCAACATGTTGACAAGTATGATGTTGAAGGAATGCTGGTTGTGTTTAAGTAAAAAAAAAACACGTGTCTCCTGGTATATTTTTCCCACAATTATTGCGGACTCGAATATGAGTCTGAGTAATAAATGCATAACACAAAACAGTATATAAAACAAACGACAATATATTTTTACCAAAAGTATACAATAGAAAACATTTAAAAACTAAAGAATATGTTTGTGTAGAAGTCCGAGAAAAAAGTAACTGAAAGTGAAGTGCATGTGCATGTATTCCCCAGTCGGAGGACACAAATTTTACCATGTGCAGACTACATTTTATTGTCCAAGAGAAAAATAGAAAAGAGAGGATGACAGAGAATGTCATTTCCTATTTATAGGCTTAAGGAGCATCCCCTAACGACAGATATTTTTTAGCAAAAGGGTGCAACCCACAATGGTAACATACAATTGCTAGCAGACGATAAATTTTATATGAGGGTTTTTTTCTGTAAAAACCTTAAAACATGTGACTTTTTAATTATAATGTCATAATTGAAATTCTTTTTAAAAACATTCGGGGTCATCAAATTGTAATAAGCTTTACAATATATGATTAGTAAATGTAGCTTTACTTAATAACAATATTTCCTCAGAGTTACCCCATTGAAACTGAATTTTAAAAGATTTATTTATATTATTATTCAATATAATATAGTAAAACAAAAAAATGAAAACAAATTTTATAAAAAATCATTTTTCATCAAAAAAGCTTTCTTCTTCATGCAATATTGTCTTTAATATATATTATCATAAAAGCCATACAAAAGTTTTTCGGATTAAATAATGTCTTAGTTTTATTGCATTTTTATTTTTCGATTCAGAACAGATTTTCACTAAGACAGGGGTCCGATTTCGCAAAAAAAAAAAATAAATAAAAATTTGGTGATTTGAAATCTTCAAAGAATTCTACTTTTAACTAATATAGTCACTAAAAATTATCACATTGAATTTCTCAAGTTTTCATAAAATTAAGTAAGAGACTGAAACACATGCAAAAAAATATACTTTTACCAAGATTTTCTAATAAAAAAATCCAAAAATAATTTAATTCAATTGTAAGTCCTGAAAATTTCAGTAAAATCCGACAATTATTTGATTTTTGCAAGAATTTCCAAATGTGTCTGTCACAGCAAAAAACAGAATTTAAATTATCAATTTTTTTGTAAAACAAGACGCCAGTTACCAAGAATATTCTTTGAATCGTAAAATAAAAAATGCAATAATACTAAGACATTATTTAATTAGAATTAATATACCTAAAATTCAATAAAAAAATTAGATTACAGAGAATATTTTCCTAATTTAAAAAAAAATTACTGAGCAGATAAAAATTATATAAAAAAAAAAAAAGGCACTCACATTATATTCAAGTAATTTTTACATGTATGTATGTCCCCCATAGAAAAAAATGAGTTAAATTTTCCAGTTCTTAAAAAGCTTCCAGCACCTTAAACAAACAACTACCACTGTGTTAAAAAAATGTATTCCTGTAATATTTTAAACTAGAAGTAATATTTGTTTTAAATCAAGTGAAAATTGCAGAATCTTGGGATACAAGACTTTGCCACATCCACCAATGGAGAATTGGATAAACCTTTTGGAATGTGTTAATACTTGTCTGGTGGTGTCTAATGAAAGGCTGTTGGCGTAGAATGAAAGGTTTGTGGAAGTGATTATCTCACGGGCTCAACTAGTTGATACGAAGATGCAATCACCGTATGGTGACACCTATGGCCTTAATGTTCGTAAGAGGTACCACACCTACTGCTGCCATCAATATTTTTTTAAATTTAAATTTGAATCTTATAGGACTGAAAACATCTTACCATATCTGACAGCATAAAAAATGTAGGCATAATAGATGCATCCCCCATTTCAGCAGGGCATATACAATAAAAAGTTTTTAAAGTGAGTTATAAATACATTGTAAAAACACTTTAGCTATAGCTATAACTGCATATAAAAAACAAGCTAACATTATAACTGAACATAAAATACTCCCATACTTTCAAGTCATTCTACTTTGACCACTTTTTATGATGGACATATTTCTCTGTTATTTTTCCAAGGTAGTGTTTTACCATTACCAGTATTTCCTTTCAGTTGAGTTACTTTCTCTAGTAGCTTCTAAATGATTAATGATAGGAGTGTGATGTATAGGAAGGTATGATGGAATCAGCTGGTACCAAGAAACTCTGGGTGCTCGCACTATAGCAGCCTTGGGCGAGTCAAATTTAAGCTTTGTAAATGTTAATGTGACATTCAGTTTCCAATATAATACTAGCAATTATTTTATCAAGAAATTAAAATATTAATTTTTTCAGCTTGATGCAGAACAGAAAGTTAAAAAAAGTTACTACTGCAAAATAGTCATTACAAGGCTTAAGTGACTTAACATTTTTGTAAAAGGTTATTACAAACTTTGCAATTCACATTTCACTATGTTTATCACTTTTATTATATTTTCTTTCAGAAGTCTAAGAACAATGTTATAAATATTTCATTTTGCAGAGATGAAATTGAACAAATATCAGCTTATTAAAAATAAATATTGAAACCAAATTAAGCTAAAAGATATACTTTTAGTAAAAAAAAAAAAAAAAAAAAAAAAAAAGAATTTTAAAGTTTATGGACAACAGCTGTGACCATCAATTTGCCCAACTGACCCAAATCTTTTACCTAGGATTAGAACAAACAAAAATATGAAATGAACAGTGGCCCATATAAATGGATTGGACACCTACATACATACATACACACACACATATGCATAAACAGACCAAAGTAAATAATATAAACAAAATAGCAGTGTCTGATCAAAGGATTAAGAGTTTATATTTTAGTTTTCCACCCAGTAACTCAATGGGTTGCAAATTTATATTATATGCACAGATGTGGTTGGCATCTTTTCAATGAATTAAAAAAAAAAAAAATTATACACCTGACAAACTGAGGTCATGTTAAATTTAAAACAGCTTGATATGGAACATTTACTTTCAACTGATGTCTATCAGTAATTGGAGTCAACTTCAAAGTACAAGAGCAAGAGGCACTGAAAGTGACAGAAGGAAGATTAATTACTTTTTTTTTTTTTAGATGAAGATGACAAGACAAAGAAAAGCGTTGTCTATAAAACTGACCATCCCGTGCAAAGTCAAACAGTAGTAATGACGTGGGCCACACAGATATAGATGACGACCACTGAACTACACCCCTCACACACCCACACTCTTATGCCTCAACCCACTTTTGCCCGCTTATAGTTGTAAAGTACTAACTAAAATTAAAATCTGGTTTACTACGAGAAATTTTGTTTTTCACTCGTGGGTAACAATCTGGCCAAAAGGTAATTTTTAAGCCATAAACATTTGACTGAAAGAAACTGCACCCTGTCAATGAATCTGTTGTCTGGTCTGAGCTGCAACACAACAAAAGATTGAGAAGCCAAAACAAGAGGTTAAACTAAACAAAATTTGCAATGGCAGTAAGAATTCAACATTTAACAAAGTGGAATTTTCCCTATGAAGAAATTGCAAATGGCTCTTTCCATGCCTATGATTCATGTAATAAAATGATTCTATATAAATGGTTGCCTTCATTTTGTGCTAAGTAAATCTTAATATGAGATAACTTCTATATGCCATGTCTCTTCAATACATGGGCAATCATGGCTCTCTACAACTCCCATCTCATGTAACAAATAAATATTATTTTCTGTTTACACTAACCAAAAAGAATATTTCATGCAAGAAAGGAACAAAATGAATTACCTAAAACTTTTTGGTAATAGCAAAATGAATACAATAAACTAATGGAATGACAACTTTTAGTCCATGTTTCAAAAATTAGGAGATTAGTTGCAAAAAAAAAAAAAAAAAAAAAAAAAAAAAAAAATCTAAAATCAATGCCTGCGTTTTAAAAAAAAAAAAAAAGGAAAAACTAAAGATGACTTAAGGAATATGTAGAACACAGTGATTGACTGCCTACGTGCCAAATCAACAGAAAAGATTTCAAAAAATAGAAAAAGTCAATGAACTGGTGTCAGGATTTTAGAACAATACAGGACATTCATCAACAGGAGACAAGAAGTCTTTTGGCCACAAGCCAGCAGAAAATGCTAACTTTGGAACATTATTCCCATAGGGATTTGGTTTCCCTCTACACATCAATAAAAGCCATTTTTTTTTTTTTTTTTTTTTTTTAATTGTTTCAGTGTCACTCACACACAAGGACTTTTGTCCTCGCACAAGCTATTGACTTTTCTTTTAATCCATATAATCACTGAATCATTTGTCAGTATTTTCACTATTATCACTGGATGGATGGATGTTGGATTTAATGGCATGTCAACTCCTATTTATTATCACTGGTTCTATCTCTTGACCATATTGGTTTCTCACAAATGACATGTCTGAATAAGCCCAGGTTTTCATGCCGTAATGGTTTTTAAGTTCAGGTAAAATCCAGAATTCTGAATGATGATTTTTAAGGTAACCAGGCACTGCTTTCAAATTAGACGATTAATACAACACCATTTTCTTGCCACGATTTAACTTTGGACTAAGGTAAGCTTTTGGGCATATCAAGACAGCTCTCTTTCTTTCTCTCTCTCACACACACACACTGATTTGTATATTAACTTGTTTAGAATTAAATGAAATAAAATGACTGGTATTTATTTTCTTGATTTTTTATTTTTCTTTTTCTTATGGTCATTTTTTCTTTTCATTTTTTTTATTTGTTTCTTTTTCATCCAAGCAGGATAATTTCCAAACTGATCCTTCATGCTCTTATCATAAACACGAACAACTTTTTCTTCATCCATATTTACATCTGAAAGAAAAAAGAAAAAAAAATATAAAAGAACCATTCAATTTTCCAAAAGATATATATATATATATATATATATATATATATATATATATATATATATAAAATGTGTGTGTGTGACAAAGTAGAAAAAGTTTTTATGTTCATCAAACTATGTTTATGTGACTGCATATGCGTGCACACAAGAGGCACTGACAATATTAAATTTAAAGATACTTATTATTATTAATAGCATTACATGTGTTTTAGGTAGCCGAATTCATTTAGAGTCTTTTTCATTACGTTTCCATCACTTTTCTTATTAAACATCTCACATTGTGGTAATAGACGATGTAAGAATGATGAAACTTAAGAACCTGGATACAAATTTACTGTGGATGATCGAATGATTAAAGTACTTTCTAAATATTTTCATCTTAGTAAATTGTATTTTCTTTTAATTAGGAGTAACATTTTTTTTTTAAATCAAAATTGTGGTTAGTCTCATTAGGGTGGGCAACTAATTCATTTAATGTGTTGTTTTGTAAAAGGTCCTGTTTGTGTTTGAATAATCTTTTATTTAAACTTCTTGTGGTTTCTTGTGGCAATTATTACAAGTAATAAAGTAAATTCCTCCTTCAAGTTTTAGCTTATTATTTTGTTTTATATTAATTATTTTATTGTTTAAGATGTAGTTGTGACAAATATTGAATTTAGATAAATTCATTTTGATTGTAGTTGTGATAGAGTTAGTGTGTAGAAGAATATATTTTTTTAATACTTTGGGTTTGTCAAGAAGGGACGTTTTTCTATTTGGGAATATTTCATAAGCTTTTTGTTTTGCATTGAATATAAAATAGAGTATTGGAGGAGCTTAAAAGTGTTTTCAATGTATTTCTCCTGTTCATGTAAACATTGAGGTCTGCAAATTCTGAGTGCTCTTAGATAGAATCTGATAATTATTCTGAATTTGTTCTTATTATGATGGAAATAGAAATTTAAGAGATAAATATTATTAGTTGATTTTTGGCATAAATTCACTATGTTTATGCAGGAAAGACTGCTCATTAAGGACAGAAAGTTTGCACCAAATACCATTCAATATGATTTAAACCAGAGACAAGTAAAAATTCATCAAATACTTTAGAAGAATCTTTTCTTTTATAAAGTTTTTAATTAATCAAAACATATTTGTGAAAGTTTTTCTTATTATTGTTTTTACTTTAGATTTAGAGTCAGTTTTAGATTTATAAATTACAAGAATAGTCACAATATGATGATGATAAATAAAAACTTACCATTTTCTTCTTTTACAGCTTCTGGATTTTTTGCTTTTTCTTTTTCAAGCTTCTGTTGTTTTCTTTCAAGTGCAATTTGATCTGCTGTTTTCACTGGCAAAACAAATTTCATAATTTCAGATGGAAAGCATTCAATAATCAATATTAAATATTTTTTCTTTGAAGAAAAAGAATTAGCACTGGGACTTTTCTTTGGAGACATCGGCAAAAATGTATTCTAAATCACAATTGAAATGGAATTGAAAGAATGTCAATGGCATAGCACAGATGTAAAACAGACCGAATTCAATATCATGTCAGAGCAGAAAAATGCACAAGTTCTGCTTGTCAGCAGAAATTTGAAATATGAACATCTGCTGAACATAAAATATTATTTTTAAATTTATTTCAATATAATTTTATATGTATTGTTATTTTAGTTTTTCGAGGTTTCTAATATTTTTAACAGCTGATGTAAACTTGAGTAAAGCAACTTAAGCAGAGTTTTATTTTTCCATGTTTCATATATATATATATGAAGAAATATAGTCTTAAGGTGTGCTATATTTATGGGATAAAGTGCTCAATATCAGAGATAGAGCATGTGTAAATATAAAAGTGAACATAGAAGTCAACACTTAGTGTTGACTTCTATGTTCACTTTTATACATATATATATATATACATATATATATTAGGGTGTCTCTTATTTTTTAAAGTGCATGCTGAAATTGAACTGTCACTCTCCTAAATTTGTTTCATTCATTGAAAAATGTCACATATAAAATTTTAAAGAGATTGCATAATATTTAGAGGGTGCTTTTGCTTGTTAAAACTTAAAATATATAAGGTGGACAAAAAATAGATCCTTTTTTTACTTTACAATTAATAGCAAACTATTAGTTGGATTTTTATAAATTATACATATTATAAAACTAGAAACATTTTTTATCTAACAGTGAAAAACTTAAATTTTACCTGATGTTTATTATTTTCAGGCCATAACTATGGCAAGTGCATCAAATGCCAAGCAGTAGTTTGGAAGTTTTAAGATTTCCAATTATTATTAAAGTAAAGCAATATGTCAACTGTAGTTAGGTACTTAAGTGATTTACATAGCAAAATTGTTCTCTTTATTGTTTAAACCCTTACTCAATTTTTTTAAATAAAAAGGATATCTAACTTTATTCCATAATCTTTTGTATTCATTTTTTTTACTAAATGTTTTATTAATAAATGTACTTCATTCATATAGTTTGCCAACCCAACTGTAGGGCTTGAAAATAATGAATTTTAATTATTGTATGTATCAGAATCAGTAAAAATATTGGTATCGACTCATCACTAATAGAGATCTTGACAAACCATGTTAAAAATCATCATAAATGTGATGTCGTTTAGTCTTGATGCAAAAACAAAATCATAAAATTATGAAATGGAAGGGCAAATTTGGCTGATCATGTAAGTTTCATAACAACAGTTAATTCCTTGCAACTTCTTCCTGTACTTCATAGTACAACAAAGATGAATGTAATTTTTTCAGTAGTAGCTAAATTTTAAAAATACTTTTGTAATATATTTATCTTATTTTGCAAAATTTTGTGAAATTATGTTATTTCCAACTCATCAGAAACAGGACAGAAATGACTACAAAAATTAGAAATTTGTTTAAAAAAAAAAGAAAAACAAAAAGAAAATCACATACTTTATAATAGAAAAACTTCTTCAGTTTTAAGACTTCATAGACATTATGAATAGTTCTCCTGCCCTTCCTGTCCTAATAGTGATTTGCCAATTTGGGACTCATCAGCAGTGCGCATCCACTACTGAGAATTGAAACCTGGACAGTTACGATATCAGACAAACATCATACTAACTGTACCAACGGGCCCCGGTGACAAAGAGGTAATGAATTAGACTCGATATAGTGCTGCTCAATCACATATTCCATGGTGGAACTCATTCGAGTTTCCATTACCCATAGGACTGTGCCCAAACGAGCCACAACTACTATCCCCAAGCCATTCCATCCACAGCATTAGAAGCAAGCAAGGATATACAAGTGATAGAAATTATTATTAGGATTTGAGATAATCATAATTAAGTATATAAAAAATCATTATTATTAATCATTTCACCCCAAGTAAGGTGGTAATGCCACTAAGACAACAGGGGTATACAACGGCCAAAATGTCATGAATATGACAACAAGGATGAGGACAACAGTTTGAACAATGTAAATAGGTTCCAAATAGACATAAAATTTGATTTTTTTGCTAGTATTTCCTAACATGAATTGCAAACTACACATGGAAAGTTGAAGTTTAATGAGCCAGAGTACAAGTAAAGAGACACCTTCTACAGAGCTAGTAATATTGCTTTCTTATTGCATTGTTCTGATTGCGATCCCAAATTCCAAACAGCAATTATTTAATTATTAATTATTACTTGTAAAAAAATGCACTGTTATGTTTAAATTTCTATGAGATATTTTCTCTTAGAAAATAAATGAAAAGAACATAGTTGTTATGGTAACATGATGCTTGCCTTGTGTTACCATAACAACAGATTTTCTAATTACTTAATAGTAAAAGCATGTTGCTAAATATTACCTGAGACAAGTCTATTGTTATTGACTGAGAAACAACAAAACAAAAAATATCATACTGCTCATTATATAAACAGATTTTTCAAACAATTCATGGCCTAACATTGCATTAAGAAATGTGCAGCAATAGTGTCAAAAGCTGTACAAACATGTCTTTCTGTCACTGATATGAATTTATCTTCATGTGACAGTAACATAATGAAATGCTTTCCCAACAGACCCTTGAATTTTGGGTCTTTTGGACACTCCAATACATAGCTATTAATAACTATGTAGGAAAGATTGCATTACTTAATCTGTAGAAAGGGTTGGCATCAAGAAAGGCATCAGATGGGTTTCAAGAAGCTTACTAATAACAAGTCCCAAAACAATAGAACTCTTAAAAAAGAATCAATGATTCCTTCATATTGAAACCAAAACTTACTATTTGAATATTCTCCAAGTGTTCGACGTGCTTCTCTTTCTGTTACAAGTTTCTTTAGATTGTTGAGTTCACGAACGTAATAACGTTTCCGTTTTTCATTTCTCATCTTTATTTTATGTTTACTGTGAATACTTTTCGCCATCTAAAATAAAAAAAAAAGAAAGAATCAAACTTTAAGCCATTTTAGTAGGTACCTCCAAGGAAAATTTATACCTAAGTTTTAAGATGAATTTTTAAAAATGAAAACTCTTTCTTGAAGCTTTTCTTTTAGTTTAAATTTCAAGCTAGGAGACTGAATTTAATATTTTCAATAAGCAAGATACTTTGCTGTATTTCAAACTAAATTTATTTTGATTGGAATGAGTTTTTTACTATCAGTAAAAACACTAAAATCGTCCATACTGACAAATCTATCAACACTCTTGATTAAAATAATCTTTCAAAAATAAAATCTACTTTTCTAAAACTTTATTTGAGGAAGATTAGCTGATTTAAAGTTTAATTAATGTTATTCGAAACAAATATTACTTTTAGTTTAAAATATTGCAGAAAAGCACTTTTTAACATGGAGCTGGGTATTTTTATGAGGTGTTGACAATTCTCTCAATAGACACATTTGGGAATTTTTTCTAAGGGGGGAAATAACTGTAACAATTACTTTATGATTACAATGTGAACACCACTTTCATACATTTTTTTAAATTGCCCAATAATCTTAAGAATTTAGGAAAATATTGTAAGTAATCTAATATTTTATTGAATTTTAGGTACTTTAGCTTTATAGTCTTACAAAGACACTTGTTGATGAAATGTTAGAAAATTACCAATAAATTTTAAATTTACTGTATTTACCACTCTTATTTTCTGATAATGTGGTGTATGGATACCCATATTTACAAAAATCAGCATGTTTAAACACTCGTAAAAAATTTTTTTAATTAAATACTGGATGTCGCTTTTCCATTTATGATTAAAAAATTTTTATATCACCTAACCCAGCATTTTTCAAACATTTTTTTTACTGAGACCCACAGCAAGAATCACATTTCATAAATTCATATTGCAAGTATTCTTCACTGTGAAGTCGTGTTATTTTCCTCTTCTCATTAAGTGTCTCAAAAGAAGTCAATATTTGTTTGCTAAGAAGATTATCATCTTTAACAATGTTCATGGAAGTTGCATTTTCACATGCATCTGTTAATTTTGATGGTCCTCTTGTTTCTTAATCGTTCTTCTTTTTTCAAATGATATAATGATCCATTATTAGGTTTGTTTCTGAAATCTTCAGATAGCACAAGTTACAAGTATTACAGGTACAAGTTAAAAAGAAGAACTTAGCCCATTCTTAAATCATGAAACAACAGCCAACTCGACAAAAATTCAAAGACTTCAAATGAACACACCATCTTACTACCACCACAGAAAGAATGTACTGGTACTCAACTTCGACATTGAACTGGAAATAATTGTCGGATTTTAATAATGAATAATTATTGTAATGAAATCACTTTTCGACGTTGTTACATTTTTTTTTCAGTAAAATCACAATTACCAAATCAGTGTTTTTTACTGAAAAAAAAATGTAACAACGTCGAAAAGTGATTTCATTACAAACAAAACGACAATGTTTTTAGTTTTTAACATTGTCTTTTTAACAAGATGGAAGGCAGGGCGAAAAGTTTTTTTTTCCATATAAAAAGACAAATATGAATTTCATTGAAAAATTTGTGTGTGGACAGAAATGATTTGATAGTGATTTATTTATCATTTATTTACTTACTATATTTTATCCACTTGTAAGCTTCGTTCAAAAAAAATATTTCAGACGTTAATTTTATAATGAAATAATTTTATTTATTTTTACTTTTTAGTTATTTTATTTCTTTCTGATAAATTCTTGGTGCCTTGATAAAAAAAAAAATAGCGGTCGTAAACAAACTAACTTCATCTGATTCGAAGGTTTTACTACTTTTTTATACTTTGAGAAGTTTTAAAACTTTGAAACCAGTTTGTGTTTTTTTTTTACTGAAGTGAAAAGATATCATGAGAGAAATAAAGTTTAAAACTTATTTTTAAACAAATGTTAAACTTCTTTTTTATTTCAGCGAATATTACAAAATTTAGCAAAAAAGTTTTATTAGCAGTTATATCAATGTTAATAAAAAGACAAATTCTTCAAAGTCTGTTCACTATCCAGTCACTAAGTCCCGAAATCTGAAAATATCAGCAAATAGTACGATTTCAAATTTTTACTAAATTTATGGAAGAACTGATGGTTACTTATACTTTGTTGAATTGATGTCTTAAAATTGATTTTTTTAAAAACTAAGTTGGGTTGAATTATAGAGGAAAGGTTAAAATAATTAAAAGAGAAAAAGAAACCGCATTTGATTCTTTTTTTTTTAATTGTTTTTAACTTCCTACAGAAAAGACTCACACGAAAAACTATAATCACTTGGTGATTTAGATGTTTTGTGGTGTTAAAAAGCAAATTTATTTAAATAAATAGACATTTTTAGAATGACGACTAAACAGATCCTTCGAAAATAATTCACAAGTTGATTTAAGCATAAAATCAAAATTATTAAACTAAAAAGAAAAACACAATCGTTACAATGATTAATGGGAAACCAGTTTTTCAAGTATTAAAAAAACAAAATAAGTACCGTTGTCAAGATTTTACTGTAAAAGAAGTCATAGACGTTATTTATTAGTTTTAAAGCTAACTGACAAAGTAGATTAATGAAAATATAAACACCTTACCTTTGTTGAAAAAACTTGATTAAAAAAGCTTACACGTGCGTTCTGTTAAAAAAAGAGAACACCGTCTACTGACGAAACAAGGGAACTAACTCTTGTGTTCCAGCTTAACATTAATTCTAAGGAACACGTACACGAAGCTGAGTGAGGTTAGCATTCAATGCCCGTGGTGTGCCAAGGGAGCTAAACAATTACTATAAAGTTTAGGAGTGATAAAAATTGTTTAAACTAACCTTGTATCATTCAAATGTGGGGAAGTCGAATAACACTACTTTATTTTTCTGTGTTTAGTTAATTTTGTGTTAAATTTCGTGCTGGCAAAAAATGATGTGTCAAAAGGACAGTTATTCACTCGACGCCGTTAATTAATAAATATATACACTTTTACTTTTGACTTCCTTGGCAATACTGTTTTTTCTTTTAAAGCGATGATGTTTTTTTTAATAAAGCCCAAATTGAAAATAGTTATATACATTTTCTTTATTTGTGAAAATTAAAAATAAAAACATTAAAGTCTATTTATTTATTAGATTAAATAAAAAAATGTTTTGATAATTATTTATAAGATAAATAATAATTAAATAATTGTGTAGTTTGCTTAGTTTACAAATTTTGATAAATTTATAATTTTTTATAATTTCTTTAACAAAAAGATTTCTTTTCAAATTTATTTGTTTATAAAATGATAAATAATAAATATTGTATTATACTTGGTTCCCATATTTTTATAATCTTGTAAATAAATATTGCCAAAGGAGTCAAAAGTGTGTTATAATGAGCATTTTTAAGAAGCAATGCAAGAAAAAAGGAAGAACAAGGATTAGTTTTTTAAATAACGTGTGTTTGTTTAATATCCAAGATATATTACAGTTGTTGGAAAATTGGAGAAAATGTCGATTTCAGTTGCTGATCATTAAGAAGGTGATAAGGTTTCTTGTGTTGGTTTAACAAGGTCACAGGATATAGTCATTGATTGGATCTGATCCATGTGTTGATTGATCAAGGTCAATCAAAGTGGTGGGTCGATTTGTAGTAGGGTGTGTTAGGTGACGAGGGATTGGTGTACCTAGTAGGCCTATGGTAGAATGTCTCACTGTGAGGGTATACCTATAGAAATTTGGGTTGGTGGTGATGAGGAAGTCAGATGTTGTTTCAACAAAACGGGGTCACAGTGATGACTGCAAGGGTATACTTGTAATGAGTCAGGAATGTCGAGGTAACGGCAGTGGCAACAAGGAATTAAGTGTAGTTAGTAGGCCATTGGTGGAATATCTAGCTGTGAGGGTATGCCTGTAGCAAGTCAGGTTGATGCAGACAAGAAAGTCGAATGTTGTTTAAATGAAATGGGGTTGTAGTGATGACTGCAAGGTTATGCCTGTAGCGAGTCAGGTATGCCGAGGTGATGGCAGTGGCAAAAGAAATTAGATGTAGCAGGTAAGTCTGTGGGGAAATGTCTCACTGTTAGAGTATGCCTGTAGTTAGGTTGCCGAAGTGACAGCATTGGCGATGAGGAAGGTTGTAGATGGGTGGTGACAATGTTGAGATATTATAAATTGTGGCGGTTTGGTGTTGGGAGTCTAGTGGTGTCGAAGCTGGTCTCTGTTCGTTTCCATGTGTGAAGAGTCAGGTGAGATTAGTTGATCCTGGGAGTGGTAATGGTTGAGTTGAGAGGAGCAGTCATGTCAGTGACGGTGACAGCACCCCACATGTCAGCAGGTGGCCTTACAGCCTGCAACTGCTGGTGGTCATTATGTAGACCTGCTTTTAAGCAGATCTAGAAGTCCCCAGGGATATCTCCTTTCCGTTGGGGGCTTGCTTCATTGACCAGACATGATGCTCAGAGCCTATGCGCAGAAAACAACTTTTTTATTTTGTTTTCTGCCTTCATGGCATTCATATTCAGCTGACATACAGAATGAATCTGAAAGAGATCTAATTGCAGGAAATATAACATGTGTATATAGTAATAACAGTGTCAAGAGAATAGCTATCCTTTTCACACTGCTATTTGTTAGCATGAAAGTTTAACATTGTCGAAATTTCCTCATGGTGGTATGGAAGTGTACTGTATCTGGTTTACCATGTTTACTGTCATTATGCATTTATTTGCATTTTTTTTATTTCATACATTTTTGGTAATTTTTACAGGAGTTAAAATTATTACTAAAACTGTTCACCGTTCTTATTATTGGAGTGGGTCAGCAAATCTAAACGGCTTCAAAATCTAAACAGTTTCTATGAAATAAAATATGATTATTTGCCTTCAAAGAAAAGCTTTTTAATCTCAGACAGTAAATTCAGTTTATTGTAAGTGTAAATTTGGTTTGCACCATTTTAAGAAATGTTCAGTTTACTGCTTTCATTTTTTTTTTTTTTTTGTTATCACAGCATTCTACAACCTTTTTCATGTACTCAATCTTGATGAAAAGATTTCTTTGTTCGCATAACCAATCTCCAAGAAAAAAAAAAAGACCATGCATCTGGAGAAGGTTCATCCAAAATGTTATAATAATGTCGGAGTTAGCTCCTCCTTAATTCCCAAATTGTCACTAGGGGTCATTCTCCTTATACTATAAATACTGGGTGACTTCTCTCCTCGTTCTTTTTTTCATTTCTTTATTTCAGCGACTACAATGTAAGCTCTCTTAGAAGATCTACATCTTCCCATTGGTGGGAGACACCATGAACATTATACACACATACACGTACGCACGAACATTCATCAAAGAACAGACACTGATGTTTACACACTCACAAATGTTATTATCCATTGTAAAATTGTTTTGTTTAATAAATACATATATTTGTTTTATATATATATATATATATATATATATATATATATATTGGTTTGTTTATCTTCTTTACATCTTCAGTTGGACTTAAGTTGAGTTCGGCAATTTTTTTGTAGTTTGATCTTTTAATATTCCGCCAGGAGTTACACACGTGTTTCTAATACAACACACAAACACACACACAGTCCACTACAATAACAAAAGCAACAAAATAAATGAGATCATTAGTCTGAACATTTCTTGGAATGATAATGACTCATTTCACAATTACAGAAGGTATCTTTGTACAAATTAACATAATGTGAAAAAGATGAAGAAAAGTGTATGGGACCCATGAAAATGTCACAAAGATTTATATTAGAAGTTAGATTATGGGAAGTATGCTTAATATATAGATTAAAGATCAAAATGAGTGGAATTTACCTATGAACATATTTATATTTCATGCTCATTTTTGTTGTATCAAATCTCAGCATTTCAGCAGATGTAATCTTTGTTCCTGATTGTCACATTTTGTAATCTTTGAAAAATTTATTTTGCTCACAACTTTTCTAACTCCATCAGAATAATTTACAGATCCAAACAAAATAGATTCTGAATGAATGCAGAATGTATTTATGCCATCAGAACCCTGACAATAAAACAAAAATCTTGCATATAATTGCTGTTTGTTTTTTGAATTCACTGTTTTGTGTTACTTATTTTAACCAGACTCCCATGAGTCTGTCAGTATTGTTTGCAGGATAAATGTTCCAGGAGCCCATAAATATTTTTATATATATATATATATATATATATATATATATATATATATATATATATATATATTCCATCAAGACATTCATTTCTGTAATTCACTGCTACCAGCAAGCAGAAAATTATTTTTCTCCTGATGATGGCCATGTTGGCTGAAACTAGTCGAGGAATCTAAATGAAATAATAAAAACGAAGGAATATTAATATACAACCCAGTGTCTGAAGATTTTAATTTTTTTAAATTTTTTAATATTTTTTATTGTTCAAAATATACTTTTTATGTCTTAATTTGAGTCTTCAAAAAATTGAAATTGTGGGCAAGGTAATTAATAACAAAAAAGTAGAGGTCAACTCATTTAATTATCTTTTTTTAATTAACTAATTTTTCCTGTTTGTTATATTTTATCAAAAACTTTTATTTAGTTAGGATATATTAATTATTAATAAATAGAAATTTCTATTGAATAAAATGCCATTATTGTAAAAAAAAAAAAAAAAAAACCTAATTGTTTCTTTTTAAATCCTGGACAAGCACTAGTGTTTGTCTTTTTTTCTTTTCGGTACTGGATTAGAAGATTAATATTACGAACGCAAAGAGAGAATAATGCAATGAGAATAACAGAACGACATTAACGAACATAAGCACGCACGCTATTATTCCCGCATTGTGATAAAGAATCTCTTTCGAGCACGGACAGATTTTTGGAGGGTGGTTTATTTATTTATTTATTTTTTTTTATTTTCCCAAATGGTTCGTCCGGTGATCATTAACACAGAATGCAGGTGACATTTAGGTAAATTTACTTCTTTATATATTTTATAAAGCATTAATACAAACATTTAGTCATTTGACATATTCTTATCTTACAGGTTTTTCTTTTTCTAATACAAACTTGACACACTTTATTAACTTTTAAAATTAGAACCCCTAACCAATGGTATTTGGTTATATATATATATATATATATATATATATATATATATATATAATATATACATACACACACTCCTATAAAGTATACGTTTCAAATTAGTTATTTAACGTACGGTTAAAAACATAATTGTTTGCGTAGCATTTTCTCTTGTAACCAAATTTGAACTTACTTGGTCGTCGATTTGATATTTCGTAATTTCTAATTTTGTAAGTCATTTAACAACTTTGTTCGTTTTTTTATTATTAGACAGGTCAAAATTTATACTTTCTTCTTTATTGAATTGGTTAATAAAATTAATAACATGAAAATTGTGGATGCCGCCTTTTTTTTATTATGAAACGTTTTTTTGTTTACAACTTTAAACGAATTATATTTTTTTTAATCTTGAAATTCTCTATTCATACCTTTAGTTTAAATGAATACCAAATCAAAATCCCCTATCGCAAAAAAAATACAAGTTTCCCGTTTTTTACGATTTGCAATCGGAATCTAAGTTGCACAGCAATAATGATTCTGTCGTAAATTGATTGTTTTGATTATTTAACTAATTTAACTGGAATTTATTTGTAGTGAACTTTTCATTTTTTATATTAAAAAAAACAAAAAAAAACATGTTATATCAGCTGGTAATCTACAAGATATGAGTTGAAATCCTGAAAATTATTCCAAGAAAATGGTTTGCTAAAAAAAATGAAATTGCTATTTTTTTTTCTTTCTGGGTTAAAAAGTCCTTCAATTTCAACATTGGTACAAATCTTTACCGGTTAGAATAATTTGTACTATTTTGTGCAGTTGACACGTATTATGTTTTAGATTTACTTTTTTTAACTTAGTTCTACTTGAGTTGAATTTGAATTTTTATCTCTTAGTCTTTCTTACAGTAAGTACACGATCTAAGAATATTGACTCTCACTCAAATAAAAAATATATATATTTTGCAATCAAATCAGATTTTTTTTCCCCCTTTTAAAACATGGGCAGACTGTGATCGTGTTAATTTTTAAAGATTTTATAAATACTAAACTAAACTGGCTACTAAAAGAGAATCTATTTTTTTCATTTTTTAACTCTGGCCATTTCAAACTGGCACGTGGGGTAGAACTTCCGACCTCACACTCGCTCCTCTGTCCTAACCGTCACTAGGATCTTTGTTATATTTTTTTTCAACTGTCAAAGAATAAATAAAATAACAAATGTGATTGCAGCAAAAGAACTAAATGTCTAAAAAGTTTTAATTTTTCTTAATATAATGTCGATAAAAAAAAATAACCGTTCCCGAGTGAGTAAACATTCAAATTTCCCTTGAAAATAACACCACCAATGTAAACAAACGATGGATTTTACAATTGTTTGTATTTGAAAAAACTAAGCCACCGTCCTCGGATAGAATCCTGAAAATTATGATGCATTCATTTGCACGATATTTTTAAAAATGCATGATCACTTCAAGTTGTCCTTAAGAATTGATTTAAAAAATTTAACAAGTTCCAGTCTGCTCAAATAAATCCTATGTTTACCTGAAGTTGTGTTTAACTAATTTTAATAATTCTTTTATTTTGTTTCTTTTTTTTTTTTTTAAATGAAAAAGTTAAAAAATTGAAATTGTTGCACGTGGCCGAAATTAAGAATGAGGAAAATGTCGGTCATTCTACTAAAAATCCCACTGTAGTCAGTTACATTTTTAAATCATTTATTTTTAAAATATTATTCCCCCCCCCACACACACACACACACACACACCTCATCTGTCCGTATTTTTTCCTCGGGAGGGGGCTGGGTTTATTGTCCGACACCTGAGCCGAGACCCCAAAAGGGGAAATGCCGAGGGGGCTTGAGCATTTTTTCCACAGTATTGCTATTAAAACCCACTCTATATCTTGCTCGACTTCGTGTCATATTCTTTTTTTTTTTTTTTTTTTTTTTTTCTGAGTCGTAGGGAAATTATTTTTATAAACATTTAACCTTAATGAATTGTTGACATTCAAACAAAAATTAAAATAATTTAATAAGTAACTATCCTACAATTTATTTTATTTTTTTTTTTTTTATCTAAAATTTTGTTTGATAACATTTACTCAACTATATGATTTGCCCTTTGGAGTAAATTATTTACTGTACATGTCCACCTAAAAAAAAAAATTAGTTTTTGAAATTCTGGCTTTTACCAAAATCCCATTTTCAAATGGAACACTTAGTTTTAAACTATGATCCAGTAGTATGCATTCATTGTTACCAAAGTACCTTATCTTGGAGATTTAAAGAAGAAAACCAATTCAGTGGCAAAATCTAAAAAAAATGTTTTAAACAAATCCTAGACTATTTTTATTTACAGATTATTATTTACATCTTTGTTATCCTAGAAATATTAAACTAATCCACACATGGCCATGATTTTGTAACCAGAATTATCATTTTTGATTGTTGAACAGCATTGTTTTATCTTAATTGCTTTACAAACAAGGCAACACTTCTCCCATTACTTACAGGTGGTCAGGGTCAGTGCCTGAAGCACCCTAAAAGAGAAGTACTGAGGGAGTTAGAGCAATTTTTGTTACTAATCCTGGTTACAGAATGGTTTTCCCACTTTAAACATGGCCCTGTGGCATGTTCCATTCATGTGGGTTTGTATATACATATATAAATTCAGATTGAAATAATATATGAAAAGCTTGAACAAAATTACTGTTGTATTTTAGTACAGAAATTTGCACTTGAAAAGACATTGTATTTTGAATATTTCTTGCATTTCAGAAAAGTAAACAAGATAATTTGTGTTGGGTACAATATTTGTTCAGGTTCTGAGTAATTGGATTTAATTCTAAGGTTTTGGTTACTGAAATTTTTCTAGCAGTTGAAAAGATGAGTGAATGAATGTGCAGTTCTAATTATCTCTGGAGAAAAATAGCTCACAGAAGTTGATGTGACAGTAATCCACATAGTGTCTCTTGTCCAAGTGACAATTTTCAAAAGGCTCAAGATTTCAGTGCAAAGTTAAGTACAATATCATGAAAAGGTTTTTGATTTCTTTAACTATTGTAAAGTTGTAATAGCTTACAAGTGAAGGTCTCACATCACATTTTCTCCAGATGAAACATTAGCCCTTATTGGAGTCATTTCCATGCCTAATTATATTTTTTAACAGGTGTTCAGAATAAGAGGGTAAGATGAATGAGAAGCAACACCAAAATAGGATTTTTAAATATTGTCTGTTAATTTGAATGTTGATATTTAAATTTTCTCTGCTATTAACAACTTTCTTGTTCTGGGTATGATGATAAACTACATCTGGCAGCAAGACCTCTGACCAGGAGATTAGATGTTTTGAGGAACGTGGAACCATTCTTAATTGCTGTTATTCTCAAGTCTGCCCTGACCCTGGGTGGTAGCACCTGTTAGGGTCACAGCTATGGGCAAATAGTGAACTCCCAAACAAAAACAAAACACTATGAAAGTACAAAAATACATTTTTATAGTAAAAATACCAGCAATACATTTTTAAATAAAAAAAACATTACCAACAATACCTATTTATCATAAAATTACCAACAATACATTTTATTTGTAGCTGAAGGCATACAATTGCGTTCAAAATATATTTAGTTGAAGCCATAGAATTGTGTTAAAAAATATTTAGATTTCAGCATTAAATAGTCCATAGAGGTTGATATGCCACTAAAAATCAACCAACTAACTGTAATTACTGTTGTCCCATTCCAGTGCATGAGAGAACTGACAAACTGCACAAATTATGTTGAAAGATATTTTATTCAATCAGGTACACATATGCAGCTGTGAAACCTGCAATTAAGACAAAAATTTTGAATAAACATAATGAGGAAAATGTTCATAGGGGTGCAAAGGCAAAACATTTATAAGGAAACAACAATTACATAGATACAGCAACAACAGATTACACAGAACAAGAAAGACTTCGATGAAGTTTTACCAAACGTGTGGTTAATATTTAAAATCAGCAGCAAAATATTTATGCCTATAAATAAAGCTACAAAGACTAACATTTAACTTTTAATTATTTTTTTGATTCACAAAAGCAATAAATTGTACATTTAAAAAGGATTTTCAGGGTCTTCAAGCTTATTTATTTAAAATCCATAAATTGTGTATGGTTTATGAGAAATACTTGGCTTAAACTAAAGAGTATAATTTGAGAAACATTAATAACATTTACCTTGTTGGCACCATGTGGGTGAGGTGATTTTGACTTATTGCATTAGTATTGAATGTGATGAAAAACAGATCTGACCACTCCAAAGGTCTCTGTCCTCTGTCTGAAAAGACCCAAAATAAGTTTTCTGGGCATTAGAATCAGATTACCTGCTAACTTTTTGGTCTCTTTTTATTTTTTTAGCCCTTTAGTGTACTTAAAGCACCTTTTTTTAGGTTATCATTTGCTTCTACTCTGACTACATAATATTCTCTTGTTTTACAATTTATAAAAGAAAATATGGGAACTATTTTGTTTGGTGAAATTGCCCTGAGAGTAACCAGTTCACTGGTGGTCTCAGATGGAGGGTAGGATTGGCAAAACAAACCTGCTGATTTTTACTAACAAGTGTCTGGCAGCAGACCCCCCCACCACCACCACCATCATATCACCTTTGTGATTTTATATCCGGTTAGATGCATATTCGCTTTTGTGTGTTGCCTGGACAAAATAATTTACTTATTTTCATTGTAGCAGATAATCAATAATAATTTGTGAGTGGGTCTGTCTAAATACATAGGCTTTCCTATGTGTTTTCCATTTCTGTTCCAATCCAGTTCACCTGCCAATATGCGTACTTTACATACACACTCATCTGGAGCTTTAATGGTGTTCTCAATTCTTGCAAGCATCC